GTATATGACACTTCGTGTATATTTTACACTGGGGTAGCAACAGCACACGTTTTATTTTATTTTTTTAAGGAATCGTTTTAGAATTATAAGAGACAGTTTGAATTTTTGAATGTTATATGCAATGACAGAGAAAGTAGATTAAACGCTTCCCGATCATTTCAAAATGAGAAAATATCGGCAGACCTGACGTTAAAGTGACGTAGCGATGCTGCTCCAGGTCAATAGACATATACTTATTTATAATTTCACCGGAACTTATTTAATTATCCTATAAATAAGAAATTTTGCACAATTCTTTTATTTGTTCTTTATAAAATGTTGACGAATTTTTATGAATTTATCACTGTCCTTTGTGGAGTAAAAGAAATTGTCTCAATAATTTTCGAACAGCCCTCATACTCTTATGTTTCCTGATCTTTACCTAGTTTCTCCTATGAGTTGTTTAGAATACATCTTTAATTTGTATATCATGTTTTCAACAGACACTTGCTAGAAATTGTAATTAATTTACAATTTTTATCTCGGTTTTCTAGACCAATAAATTAAGAGGATATCGTGAACTAATTTCTGATATTCTGAACAAATAGTTTTTAAAGATTCTTTTCACCTAATGTTAATGATACCCATAACAAATGGTTATTTTAGATATGAATATGTTTATTTTTATCTTATTGGGTTTTTTTTTATTTCAGCCATATTTTAGCCATATTTTTAAAGACTGTTTTGTTTTTAAATTAAATTAAAAACAGTTAATCGATATTTCTAAAACTGATTTTCTTGACAAGCAGTTGTCAAGACTTGTTTCTAATTTGTTTTCTAAATTTTTTTCCCTTGGCTCTCTAACAATCATTAAGAATAATTACCTTTATATTCTATTCTTAGCAATCAATTGTTTTCAGACTTATTTTCTTTGCAAATAACTGATTAAACATATTAACTTAATTGTGAAATTCTTAACAAACAGTTGTTAAGACATTTGTCTTTCAGTTTTCTGAATTGACTTCCCTTTGTATTCTAACAACTGTTTGTTTAGACTTCTTCATGAAGCTATATTTAACAAGCAGTTGTTAGGGTTAAGACTTTTCGTGAAGCTATCTTAGATTCTAAACAAGCAGTTGTTAGGGTTTAGACTTACTCAGGAATCAGGAATCTTTTTTTTTAAAGTTAAGACATTTTTCTTATGTTTCCTGAGTTGCCTAACCTTATTCCTCTAACAACTGGTTGTTAAGAATATTTCTTTAAACTTGTATGTGCTATTCTTCATTCATTTTCATTCATCATCAATTTTTGTCCTGGTCTCTAACAAATTTTAAAAGGATTCCAGGAACCTACTTCTAGCATCCTTAACAAGCAGTTGTTAAGACTTTATTGTTTGTCTTCCTTTGCATTTCTAACAACCAGTTGTTAAGAATATACCTTGTGAAATTCTTTTGGTATTCTTAACAAGCAGTTGTTAAGACTTTATTCTATTTGACTTCCTTTCCATTTCTAACAACCAGTTGTTAAGAATATATCTTGTGAAATTCTTTTGGTATTCTTAACAAGCAGTTGTTAAGACTTTATTCTGTTTGACTTCCTTTCCATTTCTAACAACCAGTTGTTAAGAATATATCTTGTGAAATTCTTTTTGTATTCTTAACAAGCAGTTGTTAAGACTTTATTCCGTTTGACTTCCTTTCCATTTCTAACAACCAGTTGTTAAGAATATATCTTGTGAAATTCTTTTTGTATTCTTAACAAGCAGTTGTTAAGACTTTATTCTGTTTGACTTCCTATCCATTCCTAACAACCAGTTGTTAAGAATATACCTTGTGAAATTCTTTTGGTATTCTTAACAAGCAGTTGTTAAGACTTTATTCTGTTTGTCTTCCTTTGCTTTTCTAACAACCAGTTGTTAAGAATATATCTTGTGGAATTCTTTGGGTAGTCTTAACAAGCAGTTGTTAAAACTCTGTATAAAAGTGTAACAGTTTTACTTAATTTTATTTATCAAGCAATTACTTAAGAATTCCTTCAGCTTATTTTTCGTGTTCTTAACAAACAGTTGTTAAGACATGCCAGATATATAATGGTTTCTTTAACAAGCAATTGGTAAGAATTGGAAAATAAAGTGTTTAAAGTATGCATAGATTTCAGTTGTCTTTTTTGTACTTAACAACCATACAGAGCTTTTGATCAAATGGAATTGATCAAGTTAAAATGGAAGGTGTTTTAGTTTCTTTTGTTCTGATTTTTTGTTCATTGAAAAAAATTGACGCCTTTTCTTTAATTCCTTAATTTTCAAGTTGAAGAGTGCATCCCGACAATCAGTTATGATGTTACAGTGTCCACTGTCCAATCCGACAACTGTGCAATCCAGCACACTGGACTTTCCGACCATTAAAACTTAAATATTTTATTCCCAAAAATTTCTTTATAATATATATAGAATAAAACACTGTATATTCCGACCACTGTACATTCCGAATTCTGGTGCTTTTTGTCGACAAGACTAGATAATTACCTTATGATTTTACCTGGGTAATTCGACATAATTATACATTTGTACCATAATTAGTCGCTAGTTCCATTTGGGCACAAGCTTGGTCTACTTAGTAGTTAATTACATGTATTAGTTTGATGGTGTTTATATAAACAATAAATGAACTGTGTTTGAATTTAAAAATTAGGCAATCAGTACTCTTCGTTGTTATCAATTTTATTCTCGCATTGACAAAATAGCATCCACGCGATAGAAAATAAAAAGGAGTACCTGATATTTAGATTGCCTTTACCTAACAGAATAAATAAGATTTTTTGCTTGAAATTGAAATCAAACATGCAGTCAGAGTCCTTTAAAGTCATGTCTCCCTAAAAAATGAGTACAGCAAACTACTGTATAACATGTAGACAACACACAATTTGAAGACAGCATCTCGTCTAATAGAAAATGTTTCATTTCCGGGTTAATATACACTGAATTAAGTGAGACTGTGCACATAAAAGATTTGCAGGAAGCAAAAAACTTCCACTTTAAGTAGACCCATTAAATTTTAAAATGTTAATGTTGTTTGATAAAAATTAAATCGCAATAACAATGTTTTAGAGGTACGTCCCATTTGTTTGAAAAGTCACGAGAGGGTATTAATAGCACAGTCTATCTTGAGAAGTTAACAATGCAGAAAAAATCGGAGAGAAATGTAGTGTAGAAAAAAAAATAAAACCACTGTTTACAGAAGGTAGACAAAATATTTAATATCTACTGTTAGTAAGTAAAATGCTAAAAATTAAATTGCAACAACTCGAAGTGATTGGCAGTTCCATCTGTTTTGCACGTTTAAAAGAAATTATCGTATATTACTACAGAGTTTACTAGTGCTGTAACAAATGATGTGTCTCAAAGAAATGTTAATCAGCCGAAGGTATATTTTATACAACAAAGAAACACACACACACACACACTTTGACAATTAAATACACATGTACTCTAAACCTAACGAAAAAATTTTTTTTTTTTCTGTATGAAGTCACCTGACATTTATCATAATGCTCAGAAATATTCAACACTGGGTAATCCGACACACTGTCTAATCTGACATTGATTTTATTCCCCTTCAACATGTTGGATAAGACAGGTTTCACAGTATATCAATGACGTAATGTATGCAATATATAAATAACTGTCCCACCTGCCTGCTAATGTGGAAACAAAACTTCCCTCCATAACAAAAGAGTGCACCAATGGAGATCATTCGGCAAACCTGGGCTGATTCCGTCACCTTCATCAAACGTTTGATGAGGTACGAATCGGCCGAGGTGTGCCGAGTGCAATGGAGATAATCTCGAAACTTGTGTAGTAAGATCAACTCCTAACAATGCACCACTTTTCAGCATTTATATTCATTGCTTAAGGGTTTATTCTTACTAATGAAATAAGTTGTGGTGATGCCTATATTTACTGTAAGACATTTGTAATAATGAAGCATTTGTGAGATGTACCCTTTATCAGTTATTTACAAACAAGGCATTTGAAGAGGATGAGCACAGTGCATTTTTTTTATCTGAAGTTAAGGTGATTTTAAGCAAAAAACATTTCTTGTCCATATTTAGAAAGCAAAATATTTTGACTTAGTTTAAAGTTTTATAAACCCATTAAACTTGTTAAAAAATTAAGTATGTAAACTAAATTTTGAATAAAGAGTTGGTCCTCTGTGTAAAACTTGCTCTGTGAGCAAGTTGGAATTACAATGCCTTTCACGATTCCTTCACAAAAAATGGGGTGATGACCCACAATATTAATAAATGTAGATTAAACATCCTATTTATGTCAGTTATTGTATTAAATGAGCTTTCAACCATTTTATGCTTTATGGTTTTAAATAATATTTTATATTTCATAAATTAGACAGTGAAATTTGCAAAAAAAAAAAAAAAAATTATTGATTTTTAAACTGTTGTTACATTTAGGAATGTGGGTATATGTACATATCCTGTTCAAGTCTTTGTGTATCACATTATATCATGATATACTTCAGACAAATTAGTACACCCGTAGTTTTGAATACAATTCATACATTGATTTCATTTGCTGCAATGGTCTCTTTAATATTGCAATAATGCATTTGGTCTTCCTAATGCATGTATAATGCAGGTACTGTATATACTCTATGTCCAACTTATAGGTGAGTCATAAAAAGATTAATATTTTGAAACCAGGTTAAAACATCAGAGCATTGATTTGAAATTGTCAATTGATTCTGGCAAAAAGTTGTACCGATTTATAAGCGGGTCAATAGCAAATCCCTCCAAAATAACCTCAAAAAATACAACTGATTTATAGGCAGACCACCTTATAGGCGAGTATATACAGTATAGTTTTTGTTGAATTTTGCTAACAGCAAAACACTATGAATAATGAATTTTGGAAAAAAAGATTATTAAGTTTAATGATGCATGTATGTAGTATAGAAATATTGTTCATATGCCTGTACATGGTACAAATATGCATTTTACAGAGTGTACATATGCCAGAATCATATGGACCGCAGACTGGCCCTGGTGATTCCGTTAAGAAAAAAGAGGAAAAATCAGTGCTTGTGCTCATTGGTCATTGGACAAAGGTAAATAGATTTATTTCATGAAACTAAACATGTAAATTACTAGGATATTAAAATATCACAATTAAAATACATGTACTGATTTATGTATATATGGATATCAGTTGGTCTCCTTGATGCAGTTATATGCATTTGTTATCCCTTTTAAGTGGATCTTTTAAATATTATGCAGTTTATTTAGAAGCTCTTTATTATCTGCACTGTTCACTTTTACAGGGTGTATGCCAGAATTTTTTGAAGAACAGTCTGAATCTGACATGGAAAAAATGAAGAAAAACAGCCTTCCTGTTTATAAATCTACATTCTGACAAAGGGTAATTTTGTTTAGTTCAATTAGAAGTGCACATTTAATTTCAGTTGCTTTCCTTAATGATATATTATAGCATTTTTATTCCCTTATGAACAATATGTATACTTGTAAAGCATGTATCACAAAATCTTCTGCAAACAAAGTTTTGGGTGTATATTGCTTGTTGCTTAACGTCCCTCTTGAGAATTTTTCACTCATATGGAGACGCCACCACTTGCTGGTGGAGAGCTGCAAATTTTTGTCCTATACTCAGCACTTACGGCCATTGAGCATTGAGGGATCTTTATCGAGCCAGCACCTACTGTGACACGGGACCTCAGTTAATACGTCTGTCTCATCTGAAGAACGGGTCTCCACATTCCACAGTGGGATTCAAACTCGCTATGTAAGGATCAGCTTCTTTCTCCGCGACTCTAGAGTAGACGCTCTAACCACTGCATCTGCTCTACTTTGGCAACTTTGGGTGTATATAAGCATGGTTGTATATAAGCATAGGAATCATCATGTCCATCTGTCTGTTCATGTGTTTGGCCACTTGTGTGACTAGCTTTTTTGTTCCAATTCTGGCTGAGATAAATTGATTTAGGTCATCTAAATACAAACAAATTAAGGGAAATTACTATGGTATTGGGATGAACATTTTGGAATACTGTCTCATTGTTCCATTGTAGTTGGTCTCTTTAATGTTGTAATAATGCATCTGGTCTTCCTAATGTATGGCATACACTGTATGCATGTATAATGTTGTTAAAGTTGGATGAATGTAAAACAGTTCTTGCGTGATGACAAAGGTAAATAGATTTAGTTCATGTAACTAAACATGTAAATTACTAGGGTATTAAAATCTCTCGTTTTGAATACTGTTTTACATGTTGAGAGTAGTTGGTCTCCTTAATGCAGTATTAATACATTTGATCTTCCTTATGCATACTGCATATTTATTTTTATATAAATTTAATGGCTGACATGTATGAGGGTTGATCCAAAAGTTTGTTGAATTTCTTCATATTTTATTTATTTATTAGTGAAAGAGGTTGAATACTGATTTAGATGTGGATAGTAGTTGGTCTCCTTAATGCAGTAATAATACATTTGGTCTTCCTTATGCATACTGTATATTATATAAATTTATTGACTGACATGTACGAGGGTTGATCCAAAAGTTCGAGGAATTTCTTCATATTTTTAGGTCACCTGAGTAACTCAGGTGACCTATTGCTATCCGTTTTCGTCCGTCGTCGTGCGACGTACATTAACATTTGAACATTTTTAGCTTCTTCTCTGAAACCGCTCAACCAATTTCAACCAAATTTGGTATATAGCATCTTTGGGTGAAGGGAGAGGGCAAACAAACATTATTTTAAAGATTGCCTTAGCATGTCGTTTATTCTGTGCATTTATGGCAATTAATATTAAAATCGTCCAGACCTGTTAAAACCCATGGATGTCCACAAAAATGTTACTCAAATCAAATTTCATGTTAAAATTCGAAGTAAATATAAATACCTGTGTAATTGTATAATGGTGTAACAAATGTTTAAGAATGCCATATTTAAATTTCAAAAATTGCTCTAAATGTGCATGAGATAAATATCTAAATGCTGTGAAGAAGCACTGTGCTACAATTACCATATTAAAGAAGTGATTTTAATGAAATCTTGTTTCTAAAAAACCTGTAGAAAATTTAAAGAAAATTAGAAATCACGATTCTTACCCCAAAACCATCAGATGGTATGAAAGCCTTCAAACAATGTGTTTTACATAATTCGCATTTCCAAAAACTGTGATCATTAATTTGCCGACCTATTATTGTATGTTCTAATGAAGGAGAATTCATGTGCAAACTTCTACATGAGAAGAATAAAAGTATTGCCGTGTCCTGCAAGAAAACAAAATCACATTATATTATCAATTGCAGATGGTGTCTACGTCTTTCAACTAATTTTGCAACGGCAAGAGTATCTTCTATGTAGTAACTGTTTTGAACCAAGACATCCTACTGACAACTAAGTCCATGATACAGAGCTTTCTACTGCCTTGTTTAGAATTTTACATGTCGAGAAATTTATGGTCAGTGTAATGACCTTGTTTGCAAATCTAAATCTTCATTACGTCGAGTTTAGACTTGCATGTGAATTTCATGGTCCCTGTCCCCCTGGGGCCTGAGGGGCGGGGCTAAAACCACCAAAAATAATGCAATCTTTAAAAATCTTCTTCTTTACTCCTGGACATCAAGCAGTCAAACTGTTCGCATCATTGTAATAAGCATTGAGCCCTCTACCAAAATTTTGAAATTCATGGCCCCAGGATCAGGGGTTCTGGTGCTAGGATGGGGCAATATAGATCATATAGTGAAAGTGCATTATTTCTTTGAAAATCTTATTCTCTGCTCCTGGGTATTAAATAAAGTAACTAAGTATATAGTTATGAAAAGCAAGACTGCCTCTTCCAAAATTGTGAATTTCATGGCCCCAGGGTCAGGGGTTCTGGTGTTAGGGCGGGGCTCTATTGATTATATAGTGAAAATGCATTAATTCTTTGAAAATCTTCTTCTCTGCTCCTGGGTATTAAATAAAGTAACTAAGTACATAGTTATGATGAGGAAGAGGGCCTCTTCCAAAATTGTGAATTTCATGGCCCCAGGGTCAGGGGTTCTGGTGTTAGGGCGGGGCTATATTGATTATATAGTGAAAATGCATTAATTCTTTGAAAATCTTCTTCTCTGCCCCTGGGTATTATTTAAACAAACTGAGTACATTGTTTTGATATTCAAGATTGCCTCTTCCAAAATTGTGAATTTCATAGCCCCAGGGTCAAGGGTTATGGTGAAAAAGGGGGAGGGGCTCTATTGGTTATATAGTGAAAAAGCAAAATTTCTTTGAAAATACTCTTTTCTGCTTCTGGTTAAAAAGCAAAGAAGCTAAGCATATAGTTATGATGAGCATGATTGCTTCTTCCAGAGTAGTGAATTGCATGACCCCTGGGTCAGATGTGCTGGTGTAATGGTGGGGCTCTTGATGATATAGTGAAAATGCATTAATTCTGTTAAATAATCCTGTCTGCTCCTTAGTGTTAATCAGATAAACAAAGTGATTACTTACATGTATGATGAGCAAACTTCTGGTCCCAGGGTGAGAGGCTCTGGTGTTTCTAGGTGTGTGTGTGTGGAGGGGGGGGGGGGCTCTATTGATAATATAGTGAATCTGTAGTAAAAAATGCATTATTTCTTTGAAAATCTTCTCTGCACCTGGGCATATCAGAGGCAAAACAAGTAAAAGTTTTCATAAAGATTTTTGAACATCTGGCTTCGGGGCCACCAACGTATAAAATCTCAGCTCAAATCTCAACCTCAAATCTTAGATTTCTGCCTCAGCTGAGATTTTCCTAAAACATCATGCCACCAACATCTCTGAGATTCGATCATCTCACGTAAGCTGAGATTTGAGAAAAATCTTGGACTTATTCTCGCTGTTATATACGACCTTTTTTTCTGAAAATGCATGAATTTGTTGAATCAATGATTGAATTTACCTTTTAGTCAGTTATTTATGCAATATTTTAGTGAATATCACGAAAAAACACATCCCACACTTCCTTCGTCTTTTATTTGTTGTTTCGAGTCATTCAACAAAGAGGATTCCATTTCGACATTTGCGACAATTTTCATTGAACCCCCCGTAAAAAATCCCTACAGAAGAATAACACAAAAACATATCTAAACTTTGTAGTCTTGGTTCGTCTGTCGACATAAACACACAAAAACATACACCGAGGCGTCACTTCCACCATTGTGACGTTACATGTAGCAGGTAGGCGGATCAAGACTATATTCCCCAGACTGATTAAAAGAAATCATTTTTCTTTGTTTGTTATATATGTTAGATATATCTGTATAATTCTTAATTCTCCATAGCAAAAAAAAAAAAAAAAAATATGAGTCATAGGGACTATTTAAATTTAGAATAAACCTGAGTGAATTTTTTTTCTAGCAGATCCACAAAAAAAAAAATGCTCAGTAGGCCTATATCATGTAAATTTCTCACATGCTGTAATAAATTTCGCGAGTATACCATAATTGTGGAAAAACAGCAAACATATCCAGGAGCAGGTAACATACGCATGCTTAGTTTTACAGGATTTAATTTATCAAGGAAATTTCTCGAGGAACTGTTTAATTGTCGGTGAATTTCAGCTCATATCCCCCCAGAAGGAAGAAAAACCGGCTGAAATTTGAACTAGGGGGATGTATAGGGAAGCGGCAAACTAACACATCGCATTTTTCTACGATCCCCTGTGACAAAATGTCTCGGAAAGTCTTCTTTTTTTTTTTTAGATAAATAATAAACAATGAATATAGCACCACTTGACAAATAATCATCGTTACATTGAAAACCCAAATCAATCTCGCATACGCTCATTGAGTAATGAGAAACTGATTAATTTCTAATTGTATCGTAAATAAAAGTTTCACTGCGTAATGATGTAATTTTTAAAAAAAAAAAAAAGAACCTACGGATCATACTTTTTTGCTTCAAAATGTAAGTTGTCGTACTAAAAAATACTGTTTGTTAAAAAAGATTCTATTCTTGCAAGTACTATAGCTAGCAAGTACATTTGAATAGATGCAGTCCTTCTTGTGATTTATACATGTATTTCAGAATGGTCATAAGTCAAGTTTATTCTTATAAATAATATAAATGGTCAAGGATTTAAGTACGCACAATACATTGTGAGTATAAAGTCGATCCAAATTCTCAATCAAGAATTTTATAGATTTAATTAAGAACCAAATTAGACAGACTGCTATCATCTGTAATAAATAAATGGCGATTTACATATTATTTCGAAAGAACAGAAGAATTTGTACATGAAATTCTAGACAGATTTCTTTTAATATTTCGTATAATATTTACCTTAATAAATAGTAAAATATAACTTCCTGGGAAAAAAATACGGGACCGAGGAGTTTTGATATTTTATCTAATCATATTTCCTTTTCTGATA